CCAGCCCGAGCACACACAGACACACACAGCCTGGCTGTGAGTCTGTGTGTGCTCACACACAGCCTGGCTGTGAGTCTGTGTGTGCTCACACACAGCCTGGCTGTGAGGCTGAGAAATCCGCGGAGCTGCAGCTGAGAGAGCACACACAGACTCACAGCCAGGCTGTGTGTGAGCACACACAGACTCANAAAAAAAATCTCCAGAAGAAGACGAAGTTGGAGCGTGGAGATTAACTGACTCATCTTGGCTGACGGAGATGAAACCGCAGCTGAAGTGTTGCAGTATGAGCTGTCACCACCCATTAAGCGGGAATCTCTGGGCTATTAGAGAGATATGTTAAGAGGAACTTTTAAAACCACAATCACAAAAGAAGCAATAAAAGCGACATAAAAACATACACCGTAGAATTTGGACGATCAGTCACAGGCAGCCACTGTTTCCTGCTTTAATATCAGCTCCATAAAGTTTAAAAGGCCCTGGAAACACTATTTTGAAATCTGTTTTTTATTGTAAGCAGTAGAGTCAAACATGAACATATTATTTTCTGCCAAAGTAAACGGAGTTGGTTATTTCACAATAGGCATTTCTGTTGGTAGTTTAACAAGGCAGGGCTCAGTTGGAACAAGGTACACACTTGCACCAATCAGAGATAAGTAACATCAAAACAAATAGTGATGACTGTTATTAGATCTGCATGGCAACTGATTTGAATTAAAACAAACGGTTTAAATGTGTTTTCATGCATCTGGCTAAAGCTGTTCCCACTCTCAGGTCTGTCTTTTAAAGATACAGCTACAGTTAATAGCCAGTTAGCTTAGCAAACATATTAGAAACAGCTATCCTGGCTCTGTTCGAAAGCTCATCTAGTGCCACGTTTGTTTATTCAGTAAAGAAACCCTAGTGATGCCATGCGGTTCCAAAACTGTTTCCTCACTCTCACCTTGAGGAAAGAGTGAAGCTCTTCTTCCTCCTCCTCGAAGACCTCCACATCGAGGAAGAGCTGTAGCCGATGGTCCACCGCCTCGCAGTCCTCAGACAGGAAGTCCAAATCATCTACAAGGAAAATGTAAATGAGTGATCTAACATGACATGTCAAACAATAGACGGCTTAAATCAAGTTTATTGATCCCCTCGATGATATCTCACATTGAGAGTAAAGTTCTCTGGCAGAAATGCGAACCTATATTTCTTCACTTTTATGACGACAGCTTTTAGTGCAGCAGACGGGAGCATTAGCCAGCAGCCCTTACGCAGGACGACATTTAAGAGCAATAAATCAACCAATGAACTGCACTGGAGGTTATTTGAGCGTTGATGGATGGTTAGAGCTAATCAGGAAGGACAGGGTGCTGACCCGCGGGGGGCCTAAACAAACGCAACGTCTTTCCTTTGAAGCGTGTGCAAACAGAGATCAGATTAAAGAGGCCTTTGAAGTCCTAAGACACATTTCTTTTTGAAGGAGAGACGCACAGAGACACATTGATTCATCAAGAGCTGCTTCTGAAGAGACAACAATGGGTGCTCTGTGTCACGGAAAAAGGACACCATATTTAGTGTCAGTGTTTCGGAGGAGTTCACTGTCCTAAGACTTTGCTTTTAGAATGACTGCAGCATTTCCAAAAAGCTTTTATTAGCCCTCCCTTTCTCAGACTTTCATTCCACTCCCCATCACTTCCAGTAACGATTCCAATCTGTCTTCCTGCACCATGTGGCTCATCGAAAAATGGCAGACAGATGCGCGAGATGCTGTCAAAGAGATACAGAGCGCTCTGGAGGATTTCTGCACCACAAAATATCCACAAAATACTTCCCATCTCTGCTCGCGTCCAATTAAGAGTTAAATATATCTTTAGAGAGGGCTAGGAGGCTGACGTAGACAGTTTCAACCGCACGCCACAGTCCATGTGTTTTACAATGTCCATGTGAACAGCCGAATTCAAATCAAGTCATAAAATATCCTTTATAATTTACTGCTGTTTGGGCTTTCCTCCAATAAGCAGTCCTGCCAACATCAAAATGTTATTATGGATGTTAAAAAACCACAGCTGACAGGATGTGAACATTCAAGCTAAAATATTAACTGTTTCGGTTTTTCTAGCTATTCAAATGGGAGGATTTGCTACTTTTCTCTGTTTTAGATCACTTTAAATGAGACAAAGTTGAACTTTTGATAACTTTAAGCTCTGACGTACTATGTTGTGGGAATTTTTCAGTTTTTTTGTACATAATATACATCACACCAGCAGTTCCCAATTGATAGGTATTTAACTGGGTGCCAAGCTTTGTTCAATTTTTATAAACATCTTTTATATTTCTTGCTCCGAGTAGTTTATGTGGACTAAGTAAGTTGTTACTTCTGCAATTCTTTAAAATGTTTTTTTTTTTTTTTATAGAAGGGCAGCACAATAATTACCCATGTCTCCTCACAATTGGAAGGATTTAAATCCACTCACAGGCAGAAGTGATTAAAGAAAACAAACTAATGGGTGAAACATTGCACTGTGAGTGGGCTGTGACGTAATGTCTAAAAGGAAAATTAGGGCTCGAGTCTGGACCAGTTTGGAGCCTCACTTGTAAAAATACCAATCATTAGTTGCAGCTATAAAAAAACAGGGCTTCTGCAGGGTTCACCGAGTTCAATTTAGGACCTTAAAGACATTTCCAACACTCACAGAATGCACTTTAAAAATCCCATGACATGCTTTTCCGGTTATTACCCGTCTCCTTGTGTGTTATGAAGGGTTTTCTGCATGTAAACGGTCTGCAGAGTCACAAACCCTCGAAGTACACCCTGTAGCGAGTAAAACTCTAACACAGAGAAGACCTGTCTATG